CACTAGCCACAGACTAGTAGAATTTCCTATTCGTTCCGACGAAGGGCTAACGCTCGAAACGTCAGCTTTTGTAATCGTTACGGTGGCCAAGTTACCATTTCAACTTTGTTGATATATCCAAATTATTTAGTAGAAATTCAGTTTTGGCTAGTGGTTTTCAATTTACACTAGCCAGTTTGGCTAGTAAACAGACTGAAATTGTCGTAACATCTAAGATCAGTGTCACTAGCCACTTGGTTAGTACGTTGAAAAATTAGTGTCGAGCCCTGACATTGATCGTAGTGACCCCCGTCAGTCTCTTACGTCCTCAGTTCCACGTAATCGAAGTTTTCCCAAATTGAGGTGATTTTTTTTCAAAAAGTGAGAGTGAAATATTCAGGTGGTCCTGATTGCTCTAAATTGACGGTCGCCTGAAATGACAAAAATTGGATGAAAGATAACCGCTCCACAAGAAGTGATTTCAAGCCCCATTTTATAGTTTTCATTGTATTACGGAATAGCCCATATTGAAGCGGCTAATAGCCCAACATATGAAAATTAACTTTTTTCATTTGACCTTTGTCATATTTGCATATTGGCATGGTGACCACATGGTGTTTCGTGAACCCACTTCACAAGACGATGGGTCAAGATGGCGTGATGCGGTTCGATGAATGTGTCCTAGAACGTTTTAGCGTCGTATTTTTTGCCTTGCGTTAGATGTTTTCGCCACTAGCTCGAGGGAAAGCTAGTTGGGATGGCGATCTACAATGCGAAACGTACTCGGATCAAGCGGTGAGACATGAACTGCTCTTTTCCTTTTGTTCACTCGGGGTTTGTGTTTATTGTGATTCGTATTTCACTGCAAATGCATGAATTCACTAAAGACAAAAGATCGCTATGTCGGCGACTAGAGCCTTGAAAATATTGGAAGCTCGATTTAGAAAGAAATATTGATAGATCGACTTAATAGAAAAGCCATGGTAAAGTAAAGGGCTAGTTTAAAGCAGTTTATCGCTGCGGCGAGCTTGTCAGCGGGAAGAAATACCACCGTCTTGCATAACTTGTTAAACCTTGAAAGATAGATATGTTTTGAATTTCTGTGAAGTTCTTGCTTCTTCTGAGTTGGAGGTTTCTCTTAATTGCTTTAAGCAATCTGTTCTCTAGTAGCATTATTATTTTTAGAGGGTTAAAGAGAATAAAAATATTATTGTTAGACGAACCGCTGATGAAAATATACAGCCAGACCCCCTCTAAAGTCAGGGGTGCAGATTTAATAAGAACATTACATTAAACGGGTGTTGTGGAAATATCTCTGGTGGAAGTAAGCCTTAAAGCTGGTTAAGGAAATTAGTTGGCGACTATTTTTAACTTCTAATAAGCGATGTTTGGATTACGAGAGATGGAAGATAACAAATGCAAACTTTAGGTCGGCTCAGTTAATTTTCCCTCTGTCCTGAAATGAATGAAATGTCGCGACTGTTAATCCCAGAAAGAGAGCCAGAGTAAACAGCATGTACATGGACTGTATTAGCTGTGGACTAATTACTTGGTACTCATATTTCCACTTGAGTAAAAGTGATTTGTGCAAAATCATTCTGTCTTTTACAAGCTGAGTTACAAGCCATAATTAACAATCTAATCTGTGTACAAACCTTAACATAAAAATTGAGATCAGGCATCTAGAAAGTAACGCGTGATTGAGTGGCAAATTTCATCAGCACTGCTAGTTTCCTGTGCCATCAACATTTTTTGTGATTGGTGGTACTTCTTTCAATCATTACTCAGTCTGTGATTGATCTAATTACACTTTTCCAATTTTTTTTTAACCAACCAGATTCAAAAGGTGGTCTGAAGTAATAAACTATAACCTGTAACTGAAAAGATTAATTTTGGATGTAACACTAATCATTCTAGGGATTTGTCTTTGAGCAGATGAATTGTCAGTAGCTGTTAAGTCCTTTTAAATTAAGGTGTTACTCACTTTTATTACACGACTTGGGCAGTCAGAGGGCCAATAACTAAAATCAACCAATCAAAATGCTCTATTGCCGGTCCAATATTCTCTAAGTATTGGACCGGGCACTGTCCCGAATGGTCCCAAATGGTACCGCACCTGTGTCCCTTTGAACTTCAGTCGTATAATAAATCTCTTATTAACCAAGCTTGCTCGGGACCGTACTGGAAGAATATCGGCCCTCGGTCTTTTTTGTACGGACCTCGCTGCGCTCGGTCCGTACTGTCAAGACCTCGGGCCGATATTCTCCCAGTACGGCCCTCGCGCTTGGTTAATAAGATATAT